AAAAAAAAAAAAAAGAAGTGATCTAAGCCTGCTCTGCACCATCACCCAGGAAAAGAGGGGAGCAGACAGTTCAACAGGACACGATTCATCCACATTGACAACACCTAAAGACAAACTAAACCGTGTGATGACTATGAACAGTTAAGAGATATAAGTGCTGCACAGGACCCCCTAGCCTGGTGGGGTCATCATGAGTCTGATCTTCCCATCCTGGCTCAGTTTGCACGACAATATATGTGCATTTCAGCATCAAGCTGTGCATCAGAATGTGTCTTCAGCACATCTGGAAATATCTGTAGTCCAAGGCGTTCTAGATTGAGTGAGGAACACCTAGACATTTTGGTTTTCTTGGCCAAGAATCTCAACAAGACAAAAAGCCTGAGTCAGACTCAGTAGATAGTCTACTCCAAAAGAATCAGCCACCCAATAGTAGGCAAGAGAGGGAGTAAGGAGAAGGGACATAATGTTGATAGGAAAATAAGAGATTTTGCTGCTACAGTTGCTAGCTTATTTTAATTTCAAATAATTTTATTTGTTCTAATTGTTCTAAGTTAGAACTTCTAACTTCATACTTTTTATTTACTCACACTGACTGTTCAAAATTTTTTTTTTTTTGAGTGCAATAAGAAAAGCCTAGTATTTTGAATTTTATTTTGATGTTATTCTAAGATTTTCTATTAAAATAAAGTCAGTAATGACATTTTTTGCATTCTCTTTTTATCTGAAAAACTATCCAAAAGTATCGAAAGTATCGAAATACATTTTGGTACCGGTACCAAAATGTTGGTATCGTGACAACACTAGTTTCTTTGGTGATTGAAAAGAAGCTCTCATTAATGTTTTGACACAGTAGATTTTGAAATGTCTGTCAATGGACACATTTGACAAAGGTTCATGATCTAACCCTGTTGTTCAACCCGTTCACGGTGTCTTAGTGTTAAGCTGTTAGAATTGTAGACATATTTCTGTTTTTTGGAATTTGCTATGCAGGCTTTCTAAACCATCAATCCTATTACTTTGTGTAATTTACATGATAAAACTTAAGCAGTTAATCTAGTTTTTTTTTTAAGCCTGGCACGAAGAATTCCTTTTTATTAATACATACTTTTATTCAGATGTTCAAATCAAAATGCCATTTAGACTGGTTCAGTGCACTGTGCCATTGTTTAATTCTGTGAAAATGATTGCATGAACAAAAAGTGTATATTTTAAATAAAGAAACTTTGTATTTATATTGTGCCCTTTGTCTTACAATTTTCCAAAATGACAATTTTGGTGTCATGACAGATTGTAAAGCATATTGTATGTGAACATTTAAGTTATGGTGTATTCCATCCACGAGCTGACGTTGGGTGAGAGGCTGGGTACACTCTGAACAGTTTGCCAGTCTATCACAGGGCTAACACTTTGAGACAAACAACCACACACACACACACACACGCACACTCATTCGTAGGGGCAATTTTGAGTCTCCAGTCAACCTAAGATGCATGTCTTTGGTCTACTGGAGGAAGTTGGAGCACTCTGAGAGAACCTACGTGTATTCAGTTAAGGCTAATGCACATGCATACTGTCCTCTGCTGGGCACAGGTGGAAATGTATACAGTAAATTCTGAAACCTCTTCGGTGATGTCAGTAACTGCCAGTTTTGATGTTGGCAGGTAATAGTTCAGTACTCAACTTCACGCATTACGCCAGAGACTAGTGAGGTCATTATTTATTTATTCAGATTATGGGACATTGCACAAGTTACACTTATATTTGCAAATTAATCGTTTAGCTATGGGTTTGGCCCCATTTCCCTTTCCAACCAGACCATAAAACCCAGAATTTGAGAAGGGCTTTGCGTTGTTCACATGAAGCTATGAGACAGACATTGTTTTGAATGGCTGTTTATCACTGGCACAATGCCCCCCCACCCAAATTGTATATTACAGTTACACTAAAAATTATACTTTCTCAAATCACGAGTAGTAGTACAGTATTTTCATTGTACATGGAGAATCCAACATTATGTGTCCACATTTATGAATTGGGATTGATTTTAGTACATTTGAAAATGCCGCCTTTTTTGGAATCTAGATGATGTGTACTGCATGTTAAACATGCATCAGCCACAACTATACGTACACCGTTCAAATCTAATTCATTATAAATTAGAATTAGAATAATTAGAATCATCACCTTATTGACCATTTCAACTTAAAAAAAGGGACATTATAACCTTGTAAAGGAAATATTCATGGCAGAACTGCTGTTTTCACGTGTACCTAATGTGACAGACTGGTATATGTACACAGGCCACTATTAAGAAAGAAACAACAAAACTATACATAGTTAATTATGATTGGAATTTGTTGTATTTACAAAGGTACATCAACTTCAGTAAAAATGAATACTTATTAATAACTAATGTAGGAGACTTACCATTTTCAATGAAAGACCGAAGGTACCCTGCCACTCTGCACTGGTCCTCAAGAGAGCAGTCCTCCTCGTCTTCATCATCATCTATGGCAGGCCACAGTATTCTTTCTAGGATAGACTGCATAATATAGTGGTGCAAACAGTTTTCTTTAGCTGGAATGGGGGTACAGGTATAAGACTGAAATAAAATATCTTTAATATTCAGATGTGAAAAGAGCTAAAGTTACACTTTACCTCACAACTTGGAGCAGTTTCTGATTCCCTTGGCAGGAACAGGGGAATGATGCCTGGTCTTTCTGTCAAAGTGGCCAAACCATGGTCTCTTTAATCCCTTTTCTCAGCTGCTTCACTTGACGGCTTGTTCGTGTTATGACCTGCAATGGTGGGAGCAAAACAGTCCAGCTGTAATCTATTAAGTGATCTAACACACACTTTAAATGTCAACTGTAGTAGTAAAGGCATTTCACATGGACTCACAAGTACATAATTGTTTTTTAACCTACATAAAAAAAAAGTTTTTACATTAAAATTTTTGCTGTACCTTCATATTTAAAAACCAACCCTCTTGGTGAAAAGAACTCATAACTTACAGCATGGAATAGAAAACGTTCATACAGCCACTTTCGATTGCTTTGTGTGACACCTGGCAGGTCCGCTGGCTGCACAGCAGCCAACAAGGAAAAACTGCAGAGGGTGATAGTCAGCTGCCCTCTGCCCTCCTTGGATGATATTGCCAGCTCTCAATGCCTCTCCAGGACCAGGAAGATCCTTTGACCACCTCCCCACAGACACCACCTGTTCAGCCTGCTGGCCTCCAGACGGAGATACAGGAGTGTCAGCAGCAAAACAGATAGACTGAAAAACTGTTTTTATTTGGCTATCAGGACACTCAACTTCCACATAAGCCACTAATTTCCCTCCACATTTTTCAAAATGCATGTCCAAAAATTTAACTGAACATACAATAATATCCAAACTGTGCAAATACTTTCACTATTTCATATTTGCTTTTATTATGACACCATAAATACTTGTTGGTGGGGTTGACTTAGTCCTGTTTTTACTCATTTATTAGATTTTATTCAGTGTACCCGTTTGGTTTCGGCCAAGGTAGGACCTAAATATACAGACCTGGAGTAGAAACTACTGTAGGATTCAAAGCAGTTTAATATAACTAAGAAATACAAGGAACAAAGGGGTAAACAGATACTCAACCTGACAGCGCACTACAGACAGGTAAAGAAAAACACATAAATCTGTCAGGGAGATATAAACACGAAAACCAGGGACCCAAACTAATAATTATCAAAACACAGAGTCCACACACAAAGCAGGGGGAAAAAAATCACAACTTACAAAAGTCCAAATAGAACAGAAAGTAAAGGCAAAGGAACCAACCGGGTGTGGTGATCTCAAAGGGAGCACAGGTGAGGCATGGGAACCAGGTGAG